AGGCCAAATGCGTCGATTTACCGTCGTATACGGCAGAAAACGGCCGTATACGGCCCGTATTTCACCGTATACGGACGTCGTAAAGCTCGTCCTGGGGCTGCAATGGACACATTTTAAAAATGAATGTCACTTCTAGGACATATATTTATAGTTATGTTTTAATTTTTTTTCAGTTTGAACAAACAAAGTTATACAATAGTTCATAAGCAACTCAATGTGATTCTTTCACAAATCAGATATTTTTGAAAGTACTACTCAACAAATTTTTTTTGAAAGAGTTTTTAATTGAAGTTATGTTTTAATCATTGTAGCTACTGTACCAGTGATAAAAGATTGAAGAGGAATCGATGTAACTTCAGTGTGAACTAGAAATAGTCAAAAATAAGTGAAGATTTTCTTTAATTAACTATGCCCAAAAGAAATAATGATAGTATTGATGAATACCATTGAATGAAAACTATTAATTCATAAATCATACGATTTACATGTGGCATCTAAAAAGACATGCGTAAAAGAAATCATTATAAACAGCGTGACTGTTTTTTTTCTGAAGGAATTTTTGTTTCGAAAATTTTCATTTGTTCTCTGCACTGGTTTCGATTGGTCTGCATTAAACTTTCATCAACTACTTAATCCTTACACTCTACCCTCTACACATTTAAATATCAAAACAAAGTTTTCGAAAAATAAAAACAAAAAAATATTATATATATATATATAAGAATGTTATAGAATAAACTTTGTAGAATTTGATATATACAATATTTAACATCGATGAATGCCATAGAAACAAAGGAATCTAGCATTAACACTTAACTAAATCTATCCAATGTTATCTATAAAAAAGAGTAAATATTTGTAATACTTCATACTAGCAATGTATAATAAAAGTGACAACAAGAAAAAACAATTCAATATTCTAAAATTGCTTCGTGCTCGACTGTCATTGTACTGCAATTAACTCTTTCTACTAATAGCTAGTGACTTGAAATGTTTTGCTTTTAGACAAAATAGTGAATTTTACCTGTTAAAAAATCAGATTCTGACGAATAACCATTGATCATCAAAGATTCTGGCTGTTGTGGAATGCACATGGATAATTCTATTTGATTATCATCTATTTGCTGTTGCTCGTGTTCTAGTTCTTGTTGTTCTTGAAACGACGATGGTATGAATTCGTTTGATCTTGCAGCTGAGCCAGGTGGAAGAGATGATTTTTTTGATGGTAGTGGTCCACGTCTTTTACGATATCTTCTTGCAGCAGATGCGGCTTCTTTCTGTAAAATCTGTTGTTGAAATCTTGGTGGCAATGAATTATAAGCAGAATATGTATAAATATTATGTGATGGTGATACATTTCCATTAGATTTTGGATACATATCTCGAGAAGAATTCATATGATTTGACGAGTTTTTTATCGGTGGTGATAAATATGCTTGTTTTACAGGTGCTACACTTGCCTGCGGTTTCGATGGTACAAAGGCTTCTTGTCTCGATGAAGATACACTTGGTGATTTATTTATAGGTTTCATTTTGTTACGTTGTTTCACTGGCGTAGTTGGTTCTTGCTCATCTTCAACATGTGTTGGAGGAGAAACATTTTGTTCAATTTGGCTATTCTTTTGAATATTTTCTTTTTCTTGTTTTTCTTCAGTTTGTTGTACAGGCTGTTCTAAAACTGATTGTCGCTCTTGTGCATCATTTTCTAGAGTTAATTCAGATGAATTTTCTTTTTGTTCTTCTTCTTCTTCATTAATATCATTACTGTTCGAAGTTGAATTTGTTGCTTGTTGTTTTCTCTTATTCGCATTACGAGGATTTTTTCGACGACTACCGACACTACTGTGACGTCCTTGTTGATTCATTACCTCTAATATTTGAGATTTTTCAGTTAAAAATTGTCGTTGAATAAAATAAGTTAATCCGCCCAAAAATGAAACAATAACTGTAAATGCTAATGACCAATATTCAACAATCCAAAAGTCCATCAACAGACCAGTCGTCTAGGTAGATAAATTCATTTTTCTCTTATCTGCAATCATAGCCATGCAAAAAACTACTATATGCTATACCTATTCTTATGCTCTGCTCAACTGTGACGAGAAAAAAAAACTCGGATGAAAGAAAAATGAGAGAAAAAGAAATACGGCAAACAATCAGTTGGAGACAAAAAGAGAGAGAATATGCATGTGTGATAGCAAATGCGCGATGCATACCTGTGCAAATAACGGAAGAAAAAAAAGCAAGATACATTTACATATTTTAAAATAAAGAGAGAGAGTGACATAGAATGAAAGAATGAAAGAAAGAAGGAAAGAAAGAAAGAAAGAAAGAACGGAATGATTAAGGAAGTATGTAGGCAAGAGCAGTGCATTACCTTTTGAACTGATTTCGTTTTTTTTTACATTTGGAGTTCGTTTATTTACACAACTTTCAATAAAAAGAATGAAGAATTATTAACCATCAGAAAGTGTTCCATCAGTTCTGCTCAGCATGAAAGAAAATATTGCCCTGATGGGTTCAAGGGCACTGTAATATTTTCATTTTTATTGATCATTCATAATTCATAATCTTGTTGTATTAGTTTCTGTTGTTAAGCGAAAAACTAAATCAATTCGAGATGCATCTTTAACTGAAAAAGACCTATAATTTAGTTTCTCGTTTAATTCTCAAATCTTTATGAAAAAATTTTCCAATTAACATAAGGAAATGTTTTTATTGTTGAGAAGAGTAATTGATAAAAATAAAAATGTATAAAGAAATAGAAGCCCATACTTTTTATTCGTATTTAGAATTAATATGTTTATTTCGAAAATTATACTAGATATTATCAAAATAATTAATGACCAAAAGAAAATATTTATACGTATGTACACAAGAATATATAAGAACATAACGAGTATAGATTTTTTTCTTTTTGAACTGAAAAGTTGATTTCTATATTATTTGAAGGTAATGTGAACATTTTTTTTCTTTGTTTCTTGTAAAGCACGTGATTTTACTATTTTTTCTATATAATATTTATCGTCAAAACGTTTTGTTATGACATATTCGCGTGAAAATAATGTCTTATTGAAATTTAAACACTACTTACGACACATTCTCACGTCCATATTTATCATACCAAAAGAGTGTCTATGTACCACGTAATAGTGCCTTTCAAGCGTTTATTCGCGTCGAATGATTGGTCATACCAACAAGGTAAATGCGAAGGTATGTTAGGAGCGAAATCAGGTATCTAAAAAATTTCAATTACTGACAATCTAAAAAACAAGCGTCAAAAAATTGTCTACATAATTATAATTCTCCTCAAAAATTGAATATTCTACAAAAACAATGACTCCAAATGGTAATAGTAATCTCAGCTGATATTTTCTGCAAATCAATAGAAAACAAAACCGTTCGAAGATATCATCTCTGATTTCAGAAAAGTAATCCAACATTCTTGCATTTATAGAGTAAATATTATGAACATTAAAAACTTGTCGACTTCATAGAAAATCATTTAAGAAAGACTTAACTCATTGATTTCAAATGAAATTCATATTCATTTATCGAAAAACTTCACAGACTCTAGATAAATAATTTACAATTTGGATTCTCAAAAAGTTTTTTCGAAAACTGTTTGTTTTGATCATGAAGCATCCAGTTGCCATATTTCATTGTAAAATGAAAAATAAATAATAATTCAAACATTGACTCCTTGAAAGAGAAAGAACAAGAAAAAAACACAATAAAAAATAGAAGAACCACGAACATTCGAGAAAAAAAGGTTTTAAATGAACTATATGAGAATATATCTGTAAAAAAGAACTAAAGAAAAAAATTTTAAGACGACTTTATTTAAAGACAAAAAAAAAAGTACGCTTCATTTTTCTTCATATATGTAAATATATATGCATATGTATCAATGTCGTCAAGCAAAAAATGAAAAAAACCAAAGAAAGAAAAGTGATCATTAAACACCATAATGAATTTGAAGACGCTGCTTTAGTGGTAAAGGAAATCGATCTGTCAATTGTTTCCATTGCTCATTACCAAATTCTTGTTTAAATCTTTGTAAAATCTCTCGAAATTTCGCATGTAATTCAATAGGTGGCTTTTCCCATGAAGCTATGGCATCGCATACAAAAATGAATTCATTTGCTACACCTAATGGATTTAATATAATCATATTACATATACCACGAAATGCTGAGTCTTTCTCTTCATTATCACGTATATTTCGTAATGCAACGCACCATGGACGAATAAAACGTACTAATTGAGCTGAAACATCATTCGGGCAAACAAGACCTAATCGTCCAATCGTTATAGCTGTATTTTCTAACAAAGTTTTCGGTGTATTATTTCGGTTAATAATTGATATTAATGATTCAAGAATGATTGAAACAAATGGTTGAATTTCAGAGCCGATTTGTATTGATATTTCACCTATAGCCCATATAGCATTATTGCATACACTGACATGATGTGGATCAAGATTTTCTGTTAATAACGGTAAAAAGATATTTAAATGTTTGCGAACATGTCGGAAACATGCTTTTGTCAGGTCGCCTAATAATGCAAATGAACTTTGGCGAACTTCAGCCATTGGATCTCGTGCACATCGTTCGAGTAATATTAAAAGGTTTGATCGTTCAACAAGAGAATCAATATGAGAACCTGCGATAGAAATATTTCGTAAGTCAATATAATACTTCATATTGATCAAATAGAATTATCAATTTATGAAAAATAATATTAAATATTGAATCGTTAAACAACATCATATGTTGAGATTTAACGATAAACTATTCATTGACATAGACCTTATATATAAATTTGTACTGCTCTAAATATATATCTGAGTGAATTGCAACTTTCTGGTACATTTTGCGTTTTAGCTGTATTTGTCTAATAACTTTTTTCCCTCTCAACCGATTTAGATAATTTTTTCAAAAGTTGTTGACCATAGTATGTTCTACTAGCACACAAAATTTTAGCTCTGTAGCTAATACAGTCGCTGAGTTATAAGGGAAATATGACAATAAAATGTTAGTTTTTGCTGGCACATGAGAAGAAAAATGAATTTTTTGACTATAGAAAAGCAAGAGAAAAAATATTAAAATAGGCTCTCTTGTACAGCGTTCAATGCTCTATCAAGGTATATTATGGATTTAAATTTTATACTTCATTCTCGTGTTCGTCCAACGTTCACGTTATTTGACAGACACTTTGTATTTGTGTAGAATGACACAAACGTGATTACAACTCGACCAGTAATAAAGCTGATGACTCAGAGATTATACGAAAGGAAAGACAACTCTTTGAGTAACAAAATGGTAAGAAAAAAGTGTGTGTTGTCAGCTTTGTTTATGGATAAAAATAGGAAGACTTTCTGAAAAAAGGTCATTATACTCATTTTGTAGAATGACAATTTGAAAATTGGATGCTTGATAACTCTTTAATGACTCGTTCAATTTAGCTTAAATTTTTACTCTAGATATAAAATAACAAGATCTATCAACGATAAAAATTTCACCTCTGGATCATCTTCCACTCAGGCGAAATTTATATTATACTAGAAAATGTACAATTACAATTTTTCGCGAATATTTTCAGTACGACTCATTCAAAATATTTTTTTTGACGTAGTTACGTGGGAAGCGATCATAGAGTATCATTTGGGAAAAAATTATGACTTCAGAAGCGAAAATGTTGAAGATGTGGACGGCTTTTTCGAAAAATTTATTCAGCATAAACATAAAAAAGTGCGCTATTCTCTACCCAGGTCGAACATTTCGGCCACCGGATCCCGTAGGATACTCCAGGAAATATGCGGGGAAGTTTCCATATCCTACAGGAAACTACGGGAAATCGCTGGAACATGGAAGCAGTATTCCGGTCAAAAATAGGGTCGGACATTTCCGGCAGGAATCGATCGGAAAAAATTCGAAAGTTTTCCAACCGGAATACTGCTTGCAGAAAATCAACGGAACTACCCGGAATCGGCCGTTTTCAGACCGGACTGTTCAACCTGGGTTCAGGTGGATAAAAAAAAATTTAATTTTTCGTGACAACTACATCGACCATTCCATCTATGATCATGTACTGATTTTTGCTATATATAAATTTTGAACTTTCAAAGTGTGGTTGTTTTGGCATGGAATCATTCACAAGTAGAAAAAGTCACACATTTATAAAAGGGGCATATCTCCGTTAATAATCGATGAAGTGTTGGGAAATTTTTTTGTGTACTACTAGCATAGAGTATAATAAAATGCACTCCTCAAAAATTGTATAGGTTCACTTTCATCTGTTCGCATGAATTGTACCAAAAAGTTGCAATTCACTCATCTATAGAATAACGACACAAAATTGGCCTTGTATTAATTTCGAACTTGTAGGTCTAGCAAGTCATTTCTAAAAAATAGTTGAATTTTATTGAAAGAAAAACGGACTATAGAATTTCGATGTGTAAAAATTCAAATTCAACCAAAATTTGTCAAATATCCATTTGCTTCAGAGAAAAAAAATCGCCGTAAGGTTATCGTTACTCTAAGCTTGAAGGCCTAGGTCAATACAGTTTTCTAGCAATACGATTAATAGAAATGATTATTCACATTTTTTCAACCATCGTTTTACCGATAAAGATCAGTAATATATACGAAGGCTATCATACAGATTAATAAAAGGTGAAATATTTTCTATTTGGTTACATTTACCTTTTGATCGGTTTGCCTCATTGTTTCATCTCTAATCGTACTTATCAAATGATACATTCCAGTAATAGCATACATCACAACTTTAAAAAAAAATGCTGCAGTTTTTCTCATCGATCTAGTGCGATTAAGTTATATCGGTACATTAGTTATTTTACAAAAACTAACAAATTTTTCGATGTATATAAATCCCTATACAGAAAAATTTTTTAAATTAATCGAAAGATCGATATGTAAAAATTAGTCTCTACGAAATTTTAGTGACGATAGTCTACTTCGAAAAT